TACATAGCTGGCGAGAGATTTCCTCAAGCTGTTGTTTTGAGCATTTCAATTTCCTCTGTCAAATTTTTTTTTGCCTGCCTTGATACCGTAATAAGAGGGCATAATTATTCCTGTTCTGCCTCGTTCCCATATTAATAGTTATAATAATTTCTTTCAATTTCTTCTGTTGCTTCATCGAAAAGAAAGCCCTTCCCTGATGTGTGAGTCTGTCTCGCTCTGGCGAAGATCAAAATGTTCTAGATGTAGAGAGTGTTCAGATGATCTACAGTGTAGTGTGAATCTGCAGGCTCCATGCTGAGCTAAGTAATTCTGATATAAGGTGTATAATGCGTCACAGATACACTACAAAATGATTTTTTTTCCGTTGAAAATCTTGTAAGCGATGATGTCAGACAAAATCCCTGGCTTTGTGCACCTTCAATCACCTTGTGAGAAGGAACTAATCTTTTTGTTCTGGCAGATGAAAAGGTCACAGGAAGTCGGGCTGCTGCCTCGGGAATCATAATCATGGTATTCATGCTAACATCTGTAGGGCGCAGTGAAACTGACAGGTAGCTCATCTAAGGGTCAAACCTTTAGATCAGCTCAGTCGATACTTCCTTGTTCTCTTATATTTAATTGCCCTCAAGGCTTGGATCCGGGACTTCCTCATTCATCAAATATGGGAGGGTTCATATCAGGGAGCCTTTCCTGTTTTTACCTTTTTATTACTGTATGTTCTGTTATAACAACATTACTGTAATGTCAGACCTGGGTAAACACACGTAATCCTCCGAGATTAATTCAAGGTAACACGGTCCTGCAGGTCTGCGCTTTTGGAATAAATCTAGAAATCTTGATTGTATACTGGGAGGTATTTCTAGGGCTCAATTTAGTCTCTTTCTTCTGTAGTATTAGTAACACACACACACCAACACACACAATTTTGTCTTGCATAACACAAGCCAACTTGACAGCCAGGAATAGAAACCCCCTAATTGGTGTCAGCCAGTTTTTCCCGAGAATTGGTTTTGGGGTTGCATGCATCTGTAGTCACATAACGAAAATAGGACTCAAAAATAAGCAGATAGATAGATATGTAGATAGATAGGTAGATTTTTACAATAGACAAACAAATACATTCTTTCATGTCTATAATCTTGCCGTGACAATTTAGGATCTGGCCTCTGCGTCTGACCTTCCATTTTCTTTGACCAGAAGAAAAGAGGTAGACCACAGCCTGCTTTAGTTGCCTGGTTACAGCTTCCTAAGGGGTTTCAATGGGTTTCCTTCAAGCTGGCACACAGCACTAAGCTATTAAGGGCATTTTATTAAACACCTACAGAGGGCTAAGCCAGGTAAAGAAAGTGAGACATAACATGTTTTGCAGGGTAATGCACATACAGTACATGTCTTTTTGACTTGAACTGGCTCATCAAGGTGGTGAAATTGTGAGCAGTCACTGTAAAGTAACAGTGTTTTACTATACAGCAGACATTATGACTTGCCATGTAACAACTCATGTAATAACTTAAATGTAATAAAAGCTCATATTGTAATAATTAGTGTATAATGTATAAAAACCACGAGCGCAAAACGTAATAACGGTTTTGCGCATAGTATAATAAGTTAATGCATTACATTATGAACTGAGCAAAACAAATGTTGAATAGTGGAATAACTGCAGGCGTGGATTTATAAAGAGAAGTGTGCACGTTGGTGGTGGGGCCCTATTTATTCATATATGCCATTTATTAAATAGAGCATAGAACTGGGCAATAGAGCTAGCGCACTAGCAATTATTTGAACCCTGTCTCCCAACCGCTTGGTCTCCAGCTCATTCACATAAAGGAAGAAAGAAAAATAAGTCTAGATTTAGCAATAAGTGCATTTTAAAACTTTTAGGACATAGGGCTAATTAAGTGAAAAATGTCCTCTAGTCCAGTTGCTTTAAATTAAGGACTCCACTTGGGTCATAAAACTGAAAGGGTTATATGCTTCAAGAATACAAGGGAGTACTTTCTTTCAAATGAATAAACTTGCTGAATTTATTACATTATTCAACTTTTTTACATGATTTAAAATGTAATGATTTTATCATAATGTTATAACTTTTAGCATAATGCACAAAACTGTTATTACGTTATGCATTCGTGGTTTTCTCACATTATGTGCTGATTATTACATTCTGAGCTTTTATTACATTAAAATTCTTACATTATGCACAGTTACTCTGAGTTGCTACCTGCTGTAGGTGTAATTTATGACCTGACTGTATTCCATTTAGGTGTGACAGGGCATTTTTACCTTTGCATGCTGATTCAATGGTAATCATAAACACTGGAAACAGTAGGAAACAGCTGTGTGGAGGTAAAAACAAATCTCCCTACCAGCACACCTAAAGCTCACTTATTAACAAGCACAGCGGCCTCTTTCTCATTTGTTTAAGATACAAAAAACGTAGGTGTAAAAGTGTGAGCTTTAGAGGTGCTAGGCCGTGGAAGATTTTGTTTTCTCATAATTAACATGCAGACAAGGGAGTAAAGGGAAGATAGGATCGATAGGCCTATAACACTCTCACTCTTAGCTTAACATAAATAAGCAAATAAGCATATTTCCCAAAACGCTGAGCTATTCCTTTGTCGTGATTAGCGTTTCCTGCTATTACAAGTCAAAATATCTGCTGTTAAAAATCCTTATTGTTGTTTCATCCACAAGTTTAGGGACCAGAGGCTCTGCAAGAATTAAACACATAACATTTATTTAGACTCCACTGCTGACCTGCTTCAGCCCTGAGATTATGGCCGATGTTCTCTTCTATTAGTTCAATCTGTTGCAGACTGGTCTCAGTAGGACTAATTAGAAGTAACCTGGTGGACCTCACAGCTGTGAAAGTAGCCTAGAAGCTCAGCAGGGTCTGTAGGCGTGCATGTCTCCAACAGGTATTTTCTTAATTTAGTTTGAAAAAATCAAATGCCCCAATGCTTCTGTCTGAATATCATTTTTAATAACCCAAGTTAGGGCTACTTTGATGTTCCACTTTAAAACAAATGTAAATAACTTTCCCTGCAAGTAATGCTTCTGATATGATGCGTTTGATTTAAACATGGAGGGTAGCTGAGCACTGAGAGTTATTGTCCACAATGGTACAAGTACCAATCATCAAGACCATCGTGATCAGTTGATCTTAAGTAAATATTGTGTGTCCTGCTGTGCTATTGACTTTCATTTGTTAATCCCTTATCAATTCACTTTCAATAAAGGACAATACTTGACCCATATGGTGTCAGGTGTATGTTTAACAAAAGTAGCTAAAACCCACAGAAGTAATTTTCTGTTGTGTGTGTGTGTGTGTGTGTGTGTGTGTCTGCTGAGTAACAGCAGAGTGACAAACAGATTGAACTACTTTGAAAAAAACACTTTCCATTGGAGATAAGAGCGTGGCCTCGCCATACGCTTGTCAGCAGGATATTAAAGGCTGTTGTATCATCGTCAAATCTCCATGATGAATGAACTTCGATTTCTCATTTAGTTTGTTTAGATTCCATACGCTATTGGCAAACACACACACACACACACGTGTCGCCAGGTCAAATCATTTTCATGTTGCTTATCCACCTGTGAATAAGCACTTTTATAATCCAAAGGAGATTGTGGTGTGTGCCTGAAACAAGCCAAGCAGGCAATGAGCTATTACAATACAATAAATTGGCTTCAGACACATGACCTCGTAGTGAACAAACACAATAAAGTGCAGTAAATTACAATAAGTATTGGAAGGATCTGATCCAGCCTTATGGAAAATACAGTAGATAAAGTGTCAGCAGCAGTTGGAGAGATTGTGTAGATTTGGATTTTTATGGTACATTATTTTATGAATCAGACAATAAAACACTGCAGTAATGAACAAGTAGAAACGTTCAAGGATGCAGTCTCCTGTTGTTTTCTGGTGCCATCTGGTGGCTGAACACTGAGTCTTTGACCTGATCAGTGCACCTAAATGTGCTGTTTGGTGTCAAAATGACCCAGTTTAAAATTCTGCAAAAAGAAAAACATATTCAGAACTTTTAGTATCTTTGTCTGTTGACCAGGTCAATTTGACCCAATATTTAAAAATAGCAGACATTTTGACGTAAATGACAGAATCACTGGCTCACTGGCATGGCTCGCTGGGGCAGCAATGAGCCATGATGATGGGCCATCGTTCACAGAATTTGTTTCCCCTTTGCTTTTTCTGCAAGCCAAAATGTCTGTTGTGAAAAATGTCCTCTGTTGCGCGTAAATGTTTTTCCCTCCACCTCTACTAAATCTGTAAGTAAACACCTGTTGGGTCGATGTTGCACATGACCAGTGGTGGAAGAAGTATTCTGATCCTTAACTTAAGTAAAAGTATTGTTACATTAATGGAAAACTACTATAAAAGTAAAAGTAATGTATTCAAAATCATATTTAGGTTAAGTAAAGTACAGAAGTATTGTTAGCAAAATGAACTTAAAGTATCAAAGAAAAAGTACTCATTCTGCAGAAAATTGGCCCCTTGATTGATATCACATCAATGTGTAAGCCGCATTTTACTCTTGTAGTTCATCGTCGAGGTGAAGCTGATTATTTTAGTCCAATGGTTCCTAACCTAAGGGTCAGGGCCTCTCACAAGGGTCACAGGACAAATCTGAGGGGTCGTGAGATGATTAATGTGTAATAGCTACCTACTGCCACCCACTGGCATGAAAGGGTATTTAATTACTTATGCAGCCACTTTGCAGGCTCAGACGCTCAACAATGGCAAATTGTTTGCGGCAACTAAACAATGTTTTTTTGGACCAATTAAGTGAAATTGGACATTTTCCCCACGGCACACCTGACGACCTCTCACGGCACAGTGGTTTAAAGTCACTGTGGGGGATTGCACAAAGGTCTCTCACCCATAACTTGATGTTACACCTGGTGTATTCACAAGGTCTTCAACCATGCATGAAAAATGACTTCTGTATATTTGTATATTTTTCACACTACGCCTTCACAAACCCCAAAGCCTCACCTTCACTTCTTTAAACGCAAAGGTCCAGCAGCCCAAGTTTTAAACTGGTTTGTGATATAAAAAACATGTCACCCGTACAACAATCTTGTCATTTGACAAAAATGACAAAAGACTATATTCTTAATAGAAACACAAAACTAATGCTGTCACCCTAAATAATCTTCAAATGCTCTCTGGTATTCCTGCTTACGAGCAGTTATATTGACAAAAACACGCTGTGCATAAGGCCGTCCAACATCCTGAATTTAACACCAAATTAGTTTATATTTGCACACATCATCACCTGCAAGCTACTGTATTATGTTTATTTTTATTAAAACCATTCATCATGAAATTTGAAACTTCTGGGAAAATAAATCAGAATTGTGTTAGGAATTAAATCATCCAAGACATTGCAGTGAATCTGTATATATATACTTTTTAAGTAAGTTGTTGATTTGGAAATATATAATGTTGAGCAACACCCACAACAATGGTGATATGCTTATATAATATTTATTGTAGAATCAAACAAATCATAATTTTTAGTACGTTATGTGTCCATTTTCCCTGTCGTTGGCACTGCCCTAAAAGAGAACAAGAGATTAATCCTGTGAGAATAAATTCAAACTTTATCAGAAACATAAGGTGATAGATAGTGATTGATGAAATAAACAGAATTACAAATGAGCAAAACTTACAAGAAATCGTTTCGATCTGTAGATTTTGGCAATATGTGATTCCTCTGCACAACCCAAAACACTGCAGGGTGTGTCCACGTGTGGCAACGCCTCAACTAGCTGTTGAAGAAAGAAAACATCACAATGAACATGTGCAAAGGGATAAAAAACATTGAGGAAACGTGCGAGTAGCCATGAGACTACATAATAACATAATAACATAATAACTATATAACCCTCACATAGTTCAGTGTGTCTGAAAGGCTGTCCAGATCCCTCTTCCCTCCGGGGTTCAGTCCATACGACCAGTGCTGACAGCCGCCCTGTGGCAGTATTGCCCCCACTAGTAGCAGACACAAGGCCAAGGTTTTTGGAGCCATTCTGATGGGGGAAAGACTGCACATATTGTATAAGCATATTGTGTTTTAACATATAGTTAAAGTTTTAGTTTAACCCCCAAACACTGTCATAGTTTTCTTACCTTCTGTTCGTGAGGCAGGCAGGCTCCTCTTGTCTCTGCTGTCCTTTGTGAATCCTCCTGCACACTTCATTCCAAGGTTTATATACGCCTATTCCTTTCCTTTCAGCCCGTAACCTCACTACAGGGGGTCACAAAGTGGGATTAAGTAACACTTATTGTCGACTTCCAGAGCTACATGGGACCGACCATTTTCAGCTATTTCCTGTCTGGCCCTTTTATGACACATTTTGAACGTACAAAACACGAGCTCATCCAAAACTGAGACAATAAATGATTAATAATCAGAGAACAGGGTTTTTTTTCTTCTTCATAGCAGTTTATTTATAACAGTCATTGATGGAAATATATTTCCACGGTCGAGTGCAATAATCATAGACAGCGAGACCTACACCATTCTCTGTCTTTAACATAAGCCAACCATTGCATTCAGTGAGATGTATTCAAATAAATAACCACAGCTCTTCCGTAGATTTTCACGCTCAAGGTGAAATACACGATATGATTGCCTTCATCATTCATTCTTACAGGCCGAGTACCTCCTATTGAATTGAGTGAATAGTATTGCATCAGAGCAGCTTTGAGCTACAGCGAGAGAAACTTCCCCAGTCAAAGACAAGCTTAGCTCTTCACACATGCAAAGTGACATCCTCGACAGCCTACTCGAATAATATGCATTTTTTTGGAAGTTTGGATTTACATTAAGATTACAAGCACCAAACATTTTTTGGTGAAAAGGTATAACATGTATACAAGTTAACATACACTTGTGCAAATAAGTTCAAAGCATGATTAAGTGATACAAATCGATACATGGAGCATGTTTCCAGGCGAACCCACTTTGACAACATCGACATGTGAACACGGCATTCTGTTAAAGCACACCGGGTTTTCTCCGAATGGGAAACTGAAGGATAACGAGTGTCATACATAAACATTACAATAAGCAGTCAAATGCATGCAATGGTCGATCACTCGCACACCGGATTAAAAAAAAAAAGAGGTAGATTCACAGAACGCAAGACCAGGGAAAGCTTTTTAAGAAACAATATTTAAGAGTAGGAAAGAAGAAACCTCACAGCTGTAAATAATGTATTGCATACCCAAGCTGTGTTTAAGAACTAGCCTGACGCATAGCTTCACGGTGCACCAACAGCACTCTTAGTCTTTTAGACTGTGCTATTGTTATGGCTTTGGCTTGCATTGCTTCCTTTGTAATACGTTGAATCCAGCAAAATCAGGGTACATACAGAATATGTTACGACACAGTTATTGGTAAGTGACACCTTCTATTTCTGCTACAGCAGCATTCAGTGAAGCTCAGCGCTCTGAACTTGACTGCACACAGATAATGTGATTTTGACTCCCATTAACACGTCAAGTAATATGAAGTGAATATAAATGACGTTGAACATTAAATGAGTAGAGTCGTTGGATTGCATCCAGACACATCTAAATACACGAGGAACATCATTTTTGTTTTGGTGATATATGCAGCTGAACATTTAAAAACATCCTACCGTACAAACATATATAGACAACCCTGAATAAATTCTAGTGCAAGATATTTAAAGCTAACATAATATAGGAGGAATGCCAGGGATGTGCATATAACTACCTGTGCTGCAGGTAAAGAGTGAGAGTAGGGGAATATACTAGAGGAGATTTTGGAGGAAAGAGCAATAAAGAAGCCAGCTGTGGCCTCACACTGGACACCGGTGTGTGTGTGTGTGTGTGTGTGTGTGTGTGTGTGTGTGTGTGTGTG